TATATATGAATCATTGGAAGAAAATAATGGAGAGCCAAAGTGGCACGTAAAAACTGAAATAAGGGTGAAAGCTGATGCGTAAATAGGTAGGCGACTATTCGAATTCGAAATAAAATCCTAGATAAACTAAAAAAATGCAATGATTTTTTCAGTTTTTAATTTTCTAGATGGCAACAGTGATTGAAGTACCTACTATTTATAGTGTTAAGAACTTTAACTAAGGAATTATATGCGTTGACATCATTTGTTAGAGAATAAGAAGATATATGACAAAATATTAAGTGGCCATTACAATATAAGAAGCACACAAGAAATTTAGCAGAGGAATGAAGAAATTATTGCCCTTGTTTGAGCCCCATTTTTCAACCAAAATACATTCTTCAACAGTGATTTGACATCATTTCAACCACACATTTTTCAATAAAATAATATTATACGCAAATAAAAAACTTTTCCTTATTTTTTTAACCACACATTTTCCATCAATACACTATTCAAAAATTCATTTTCTTCACAAAAATGGGGCTCAAACAAGGGCATTATGATGAAGAAAGAATACAAAATTTTACATTTACAATATCTTCTAAATTCCTAAAACTCATACAAAGTCATATAAAAGCTAAGAATTTCGTGGAGTATATATAGGACACTAGAGAATTATTCTAGTTGGAAAGAGGGAAAAAAGGAGCAAAAATAAGGAAATAATATTTTCTCAATAGCTTGCCTCGTGGGCAGCGAGCACCGCAATATCGTTTGAGCGCCAAGCAAGCTACAAGTGAGCATCAGTCATCCTATTTTGAGTGCTTGAACGGGAGATGAGCGCTCAACGAGCAAAATATGATGAAGATTCAAAAAAATTTCACCTGGAGACGAATTCGACTGCAAGGAACAAACCAATGGCTCTTTAGCTAAAAAAAGCTTCTCTAACAAAAAATTCTCATCTTCTACAAAATTTAACTAGAACAAACTCAATCATCTAACCCTTGCATTGCTCAGTAGAAATACCTCAAGTACCAAAATCCCTCTAATTATCACTATGAGCAACAAAATCGCAAATAATTCACAAATTACCAAATAGGTCAAAAGCACTCCCTTTGCTAGATTCAATTAAAGTATATGCCACTAAATCGACTAACATATAAGTTTGTGGAGGCCTAATATTTCTCTTGGTTTTGTATCTAGCAATTTAATACGATGACACTATTGGTGGTGGCAAAGTGACATTACCCATAACCTCTGAACTCGACTAAGATTGTTCTTCGATGTAGACCCCAAAACAAACTCCATTACCAAACCGAATATCCACCAATGAACTTAATTTATTCTGATTATTTTCCAATAATTCTATAGAACCCTACAAGACATATAATTGGGACCTTCTTTGTCCCTGTAATACAATGAGGGCATCTTTACTAATCTTCAGTACTCTACCTTCGCCAGTATACTTATATCCTTTTGAATCAAGAATACCCAAGGAGATCAGATTTATCTTTAAATTTGGGATACGCCTCATTTCATCAAGAGTCCTAACCATCCATTAAACATCTTAATTCTAACACTTCCTATATTAGCTAACTTAAGCACTAGGCAACGACAAGCGAGCAACGGTCACCCTGTTGTGAACGCTCGAGCAAGAGACGAGCATTTAGTGAGCTAAAATGTGGTGACTTCTTCCCCTTAATCAATCTTTAACTTCTTCAAGATCTCTTCATCTAAAAACTAATACCCAAATAAATTTGGACCACAATTCAACATATAATAAATGGTAATTTCTTTTTGTGATCATTATAAGATTTTCGTATATACATTTTAATATTTTCTTGTTTTGATTTTATTTTGAAATGAAGAAGGTAAAGAAGTCATCATCCCCAAGACCTATGACTAGTCCTATCACGCAGCTGATGACTACACCAAGCATGCACATGCACCTATTAACCTACCTACACCAACCACTGTGCCCACATAGATATGTAGTTCTGCGATTGAGTTATTCAGTTCTTACTTCTTTTTTATTAACATCATATTCTTTTGACACCTGCAGGGGTACTACTCGAGCGTAGGCAAGACAGTCATACTTACCACTTAGGCATATCCAAGAAAGTCAAGGCCAATCAATGGAAGCTAGATGTCATGTACAAAGACACTGATGGGCAACCTACTAGTCCTAATCCTAGGTAGTTTGTATCTGAAATAAGATGTTGTGCCCAAATATTTGCACCTCTCTAAAAGATATTTTGGAGATATGTGATTGAATCTGAAAAATCCCCTATTTATGACGAAGTGTAGGTAACTTTATTGTTTTGTTGCAAACTATACGGTTGCAATCACTTGGAGTAGGATGATGTCGAACCATTCGAGGAGTAGGCGGGGAAATAAGACCTAACTTAACTTGTTTTATTTATTCATTTATTTATTGGTTCATTTATTTTCAACATGATCAAATGCCACAAATAGACAGACCTGTGGAATTACATAGATGTTGTATAGTATTGGGCAATTTTATTGAATTGCTTAAACTATATCAAAGTTGCTTAGCATAATAAATATTATAGCATACAAATGAATAATGGAATTTGAAAGATAGCATAGAGCAAGATTTTTATGCATTAGTTCATGGTCTATTCATATTTATTTTCACTCACTATATATTGCTATATATATGCTATTTTTTACGTACATTATGATAAATATGCTACTCTTAAAGAGTTCATGAAGAAATCTATGACGACCCGAATCCTTAACAATTTGAATATCACGAAATCATAAATTAAAACTAATTTAAAGAATATTCAACACAATTATATAAATTATTAAAGCATTTACAAAAATTCAAATAATATAATGAGTTTACTAAATTAACTTGAAATAAGAAATAACTTAAAATATTTAAAATCAAATGAAATAATAATAGCTTGACAAGATAATAATTTTATTATTGAAACTTTTGCCGCCATAAGCCATCTCCATTCCGGCCGCCTCGAATCGTCAATTACTTCTTAATAAGAGTGCTTGGATAATGAATTCATATATGCATTTCTACAAAAAATTCATAATTTGTATAGGGAGACACGAAAATTAGACCAAATTTATATGGTCTTCAATCTCATGCTAGCGCTACTAAACGCCGGTTCATTCTTAATAAACAATACATAACATGGAGTTATTTATGTGTGATTGTCTTAGAAATATTATATACATACACAATAGCCACCATAAACATAAAGCACAATTTACCTTTTCACTGAACAATTCAAAATGATAAAAGGAGTTATTTATGTGTGATTGTATAAGTGTACGATTGTATTTAATATAAAAATGACAAGAGAAAGAGAGGATGTGGAGAGACAAAGTTATAGAGGTAGAGAAGAAGCGTGTATAAATAGTTGTTGAGGGGTTGTTTAGTGTTAAATTCTTGATCATGTGTTGAAAAGTAAAAGGAAATTGCTAGATGTTAGGCATAGTCAATGTATAAATGGTATATTGTCATGAAAATGATCAACTCAATACCTTTAATCATCAGGTCAAATTAATTCACTTGGCTTAAAACTGGTGTAAATAATGCATGTAATTAAATCAATTTTCTTTATTTGCGTGGTCAAGTCAATTACATTGGTTTGAAATGTGGTCTAAATAATGCACGTGATCAATAAATCATCTTCAATCAAGATCACTTCACATATTTACATACGTTTTACACATAATTTCATCTAACTTCCAAAATAGCTTTCTATTTAGGCCCTCAAACTATTGGTCAATAACTAGTAAGGTCATTAAACCATGCCAATAACCAATAAGGTCATTAAACTTTAATAATAGTGCACTTGAGTCCTAAATTTAAATCTAACTAGTAATAAAAATTTGGAATGTTACAATCTACCCCCTTAAAATAAATTTCGCCATCGAAATTTACATTGGAATTTCTCGAAGAGTTGTGGGTACTTGTCTCACATTTTTACTAAAGGAATCATGTGTTTCTAAGTGTATGAAATTTTTGATTGATAATTTCGACTAGTTCTTCTTTACAACTCATATCACGTTGTAACTCAATTGATTGATGATTCACTACATGGCTTGGATCAAGGATTTACTTCCTAAGCATGGATATGCAAAATACACATGTGCTACTGAGAGTTCAGGGTATAAGGCCAACCGATATGCTATACTTCCAATGCGCCTCAAAATTTCCAACGGGCAAATGAATCTTGCTTGCAACTTTCCATCCTTACCAAAACGTAATACTCCTTTCGTAGGCACTTCTTTTAGGAATACTTTTTTCACTTTCAAGGGATTTCAAGCCCTTTCTTCTCTTATCTACATAGCATTTTGTCTGTCTTGAGCGATTTTAATTTATTACAAATCTTCTCAATATCCTGCATAGTCTGTTCAATAATCTCCAGACCCGAAATCTCATGCTCACCAACCTCGTCCCAATGAACTAGTGATCTGCATTCTTCTCATACAATGCTTCATAGGGTGCCATGTTAATAGAGGTGTGATAGCTATTGTTATAAGCAAACTCAATTAAAGGTAGATATTTCTCTCAATGTCCACCAAACTCTAAAAAACACGATCGAAACATATCCTCTAATGTTTGAATTGTCGCTCAGATTGACCATTTGTTTGACGGTGGAAAGCTATACTAAAGTTTAATTTTCCTCCTATAGCCCGATGTAAACTCTTTCAAAAATCGATGTGAAACTTAAATCTCTGTCCAATACAATTGAAACTAGTACACCATGCAACTTCACCACTTCCTTAACGTATAATTGCACAAATTGGTCCATAAAAATGTCATGTAGATAGGTAAGAAATGACCAGACTTAGTTAATCGATCAACAATAACCCAAATGGCGTCCTGGCCTTTTACTGATTTCAACAAACCTACAAAAAAATACATCGTCATACGTTCTCATTTCTATTTTAGAACATCTAATGGTTGTAGTAATCTTGATGGCCATTGGTGTTCGGCCTTCACTTGTTAGCATATCAAACATCTTTCATCATACAATGCTATGTCCTTCTTTATTCCTCTCCACCAAAACACCATTTTTAGATCTCGGTATATTTGTACTTTCTAGATGCATCGAATATGGAGCAAAGTGAGCCTTCTTCAATAATTCATTTTTCAACATCTTGAAGTCCAGTACACATAGTCGTCCGTGATGGCACAATGCCTCATCTTTAGTTATTGTGAAGTCCTTCTGTTTTCATGCCTTTATCTCAACCTCAATAAACTCCAAGGATTGATCATCCTTTTGATGAATCTTAAATTTGTCACGAAGTATTAGTCGGACGGAAATGGTATCATTTAAGTTACAACATTAAGTGGAGCCGTGACAAACTCAAGATTTAATCGCTTGAACTCCTTCCATAAAGGACTTTGTGTGGTCAACATCCCCACTTGACCCATCATCTTCCTACTAAAGGCATCTACTTCCACATTTGCCTTGCCTAGTTGATAATGGATTTCGCAGCCATAGTCCTTCACTAACTCAAGCCATCTCCTTTATTTCATATTTAATTCTCTCTGAGTGAAAATGTATTTGAGAATCTGTATAAATGTCACACTTGATCCTGTATATGTAGTGTGTCCAAATTTTTAGGGTATTAATGACTGCAAAAATCTCAAGTCATAAGTAGGGTAATTATGCTCATATTACTTTAATTACCTTGACATATATACGATCACCTTGCCTTGCTGCATCAAGACACATCCCAAACCATGCTTAGACGCTATAGGTTATAAAACCTTTTGTCCCTTTTCGTATGGATAAAACATATGTGTTCACCAATCTCTATTTCAACTCTTCAAAACTATGCTTGCACTTTTGGTCTAGGCAAATTTTGCACCATTACGAGTTAACTGTGTTAATGGTCCAGATATCTTTCAGAACCTTCGATGAATCCCCTATAATATCCGGCTAAACCTAAAAAACTGTGAATTTTCCTGACACAATTAGTCTCACCCAATTCAGAATTGTCTCTACTTTGCTTGGATCAACTTCTATTTCTTGAGCTGTAATAACATGCCCAAGGAACACAACTCGTTCCAACCAAAATTCACATTTCTTTTACAATTTGGAGGGCAAAAGGATGATGTAAAGATGGAAATTACAAGGAGTGTAAGGTTACAGGATTCTAACATGAATCACCATGATCAATCCCTCCGTACAATCAAGCTAAAGGCTATAAACAAAGTGCTTATCGGGAGGAAATCCCATTTTTCTTTTATTTACTTTGCTTTCTATATTGTATTACATATAGATTTATTATTAGTTTGCATTAGACTGAGGCACGTTTCAATTTATAGGTATCACCATCCTATCATGTTTTACCGTAGGCCCTTAAGTTTATTGTTGGTTACTTCGATTGTTTGGGCTAAGTAACATACATTCTAGGCTATTTGATCTTTAATGTTTAATTTGATCACTATGTGCAGGAACATGACGTCATGAAATACTTAAACTAACATTGACCAAAGAAAAAACGTGCTGAAAGAGATTGTCTAGCCATCGCCCATAGTGCCTCACACATTCAACAGAGAAATTCGAGGATTACCATTTTCCTTTTCTTCCCTACCCTCTTATGTGTGTAATTATATTTCATGCCATTGAGGATAGTGTCAGTTTTAAGTTTGGGGGTGAACAAAATGATAATAATTTTTTATTTTTCTGTATGTTTGTGTGTTTTATTGTGTTTGTTTTTAGTATTACTTCAAAAAAAAATTCAAAAGTATTTTCCTTTATTAGAGTGTGTGCATGTGTGGGTTGGATAGTCTAGTCGACAATGATGATTTAATGTGAGATTTGGTATTGATCTATAGATTGTGGATATGTTGCGTGCTTAAATTGACTGATGCTTAGCCTTGAGAATTTGATATTATACGTGCACAAGAATTGTGTTTTATATCATGATGCAACAAGTCATATACAAAACAGATTGAAAGATTGAACATATTAGACCATTCCTAAAACTATCCTAAAGTAGTAACCTTTTAGACCAAATTTAGTTTACTTTGGGGTGATTTTACCGTTATAGGAAGATATGGATGTGAATGTGCATTCCTTGTGTGAAAGAAAAAAAATTCTGTGGATTGTCTTAGATAAATGAGATAAAATTGGGTGAAAGTCTTAAGTTAGAGGTTAGTATGCTCGAATGTATGTTTAATGATTGGCATTACACGGATCAAGGCATAAATTTTGTTGAACTGTGAAACTTCTCTTTAAACCTTTTTTATTCGAGTAACTAAGCTCGTAAGGATATCTTAAAACCTAGTACCCTAAAGTCATCTGACTTAAGAATTATCGATCTAAAGCTCGTTACAAAATCAATTAGAGCAATCAGCGATAAAGTTGCACTTGAAACAAAAATATTGTTTTCTTCGAAGCCTTTTTTACTAGGATTAGTAAGCCTGTAAGGGTATCTTACAACTTGGTACCTTAAAGTCATCTGATTTTGGAGTCATCGGTCTAAAGAATGATACATAGATTATCTAGAAAACTTAAGGGAGAGAATAACAAAAAAAAATGAACTTTTGAAAATCAGAAAAAGCAAGTGCATAAAAAGCAAAGAGCATTAAATGCCTAGGTTAAGCTCCAAATACTTGTTTGAGGAAATTTGAATTTTGATGAAGGATAATTAATCTAGTTGAGTCTTGGAAGTCGAAACAATCAAGGAATTAAAGAATCATTGTTCATTGATGTGTTGACTTACAACTAGTGACGTCCATCTCAACTAGAGAGGGTGAAAATAGTAATGAAAAATTCAACCTTAGTTTACACATTGGGTACGAGTGAAAAGAAAAATAATTGGAGGGGTATGAATTATACGAGAGATGAAAGGATATATTTGACCACATGGAGTCGAGAATTGAGATAACTTGTGCAGTCATGGTTGGTTACTTAATTCTTTACACACACTTCAATTTTTTATTGAAAGAGTGGATATCGATTTGGTATTGTGACTTTAAAGCATGTTTGTGGAATTAACACCAAAATCTTGCATTCTGAGGTAAGAAGCAGGATTGTCTGAATTCTAAGGTAAGAAGCAGGATTGTCTAACCAAACATCTTTACATGATTGTGCGTTTGTTGTTATTTAGATGATGGTTTTGTTTGAGGACAAACAAATGTTTAAGTTCAGAATATTTGAAAAGTGTATTTTATGCACTTATTAAATCAATGCCTTAAACTACAATATTTAGTTGCTCCTCTGATAAAATATAGTTTAAATTGTTCTATTTTGAGTTAAATAAGTAAAATTCAATGGCTGAACAAAAAATCGGAAGAAACGAAAGAAAAACCCAAAAAGGAGTGAAATCCAAAAGATAGGGACCAAGTTGTAAATAATTCATAGATGAGAGGAATGATGAAATGAAGATCGAAGATGTCAAAACTTTAATTGGACACAACTGGAAGATAAAGGAACGCGATTACAAGAGAAAAGGGCTTAAATGAAGCAAAAAATAAAAGTTTGGGGACTAAATTGTAAATACTAAAAAGTTGTGTAAAACCTTAAGATGAAGATTCAAGAATGTCAGGGGTCAATCGGATGAAGAAAGAAGTCAAAGGGATGAAATATAGTCAAAGTATTATTGCATATCAACTTTCAGGTGAAAAAGTTATGCTTCATATTTTCAATTTTTGTTCGAGACCCATTTTTTGCATAGCAAATTTTCGAATTGAAAAAAAATATATATCTATGATAGAATTGTAGCCCTTTGAGTTATCTTTTCAACCAACTTTCATTCACCTCAATCGGATATCAGGAGAGAAATATATAATCAAAATATTGAAGGTTGTCCTATGGAAGAAAAAAAAAAAGAGACTATAACTATGGGGTCACATAGTTTAAAAATTCATGCGGTCACATCCATACATGTAGGGAGAAATATTGTGTTCAACGAGTGAACTATGTGGTCGCATCCCAATGTAATATGCGGATGCGACCACATAGTACAAGATTTCGACCGAATCTCAAGTTCCTTTATACGATTAAAACTCAATTTGACAAGGTTTTAAGCGACATGTTGACCCAAATACGAGCCTTATAAATATCAGAACGTTACATACACATTATAAAGCATCTTTTATGCACAAAAAACATTAAGAACAAGGAGATTTTTAGAGAATCATATTGAAAAAGAAGAGCAAAAGTCAAGTTTGTAAGGGAATTCTACCAAGAAATTGCAAGAAGATTATCAAGGAGACTTCATACCAGGAAATTTGCACAAAGGTTGGAAGGAAACTTAAAAGTTATTAAGAATCCATCGTTTCTCTTCAACTATTCAAATTTCGGGTGATTTTTATTAAGATTTTAATGATTTCTTGTAATTTCAATATGTTTTGCTAGATATTTACATTGCTAGGATGAGATTACCCTTGTTATGAGATTTTTGGTATTAATTAATTATTTTGACGTTTAGTATCTATGTTTTCTTAGATGTTTATTATTGTTTTCATTGACTTCTCTACTAATTGAGATGACTTATTCGAAGCTATTGTTTTTTAGAGAGATAATAGGTTTTTAGCTAAAACTAATAAATATTGTAAGGTTCGAGATTATTTAATGAATTTATCATGTTTTTATCTTTCATTTAGAGATAGGAAAATCACATGAGGGGAATAATTTGACAACAATCAAGAGAGATTTTCAATTAAATTAGGAGTATTGATCAACAAGAATGACTACAAACTGTCACCTTAATTTGTTTTGCTAAAAATGGATTAGCAAGTGGGAATCAACATCTTAGCAATACTTTCATATATTTGAAAAACCAGTTAAATCACTTTCTAGTTTAATTGATAACTTATTTATTAGTGTAGAAAACTCAAAACTTGTTGCTATTCAATTAAGGCTACTTTTAATTTGAACTCAATCAAATACTTCGTCGTCATGGGTTCGATATTCTACGCACTACTATATTACTTGTTCAAGATCCTGTCCACTTTCTAGAAATCAAACGATCAGCTTGAAATGTAGTGTAAATAAGGCATGTGATCAATAAATCATATTTAATCAAGATCAGTGGCATATTTGCATATGTTTTACACATGATTTCATCTAACTTTCAAAATAACTTACCATTTAGGCCTTCAAACTATTGGTCTATAACTAATAAGATCATTAGCTTAGGCCTGTAACCAGTAACGTCATTAAACTTCAATAATAGCAAACTTAAGTCCTAAATTTAAATCTAACAAGTAGTAAAATTTTGGTATGTTACAAAATCAATGGCCACTTCTTTTATGGAGTTTCGATGTAAGCTAAACACATACTACAAGGAGTATCTAGACCAACCAATGGCTAATAGGACTGCAAATAAACTTAAAGAAGTCTATCATTGGGTTGATTTGGATTATTTGTGTGGCAATTTGGAAAATGAGTGTTTCAAGTGCAATTTTATTTAGTTTTACATGAATTTATGTACATTTGTTAACTAATTTAGTACATTGACTATTTTCATTTCTATTTAGTTGTACAATACTGAAAATATATAAGGTAACGATTGACAATAGATCCAAACAAGAATTCACCCATTTTTCTGGTTGTAGATCATTTATTCAATGTCAGGTTATAAGGGTAAGTAAGAAGAAAGGTAAATACATTTCTATTAGGGAATAGCTTCAAGTCAATTGAATCTTATTCTTACATGTTCTAATAGGATAATGGAAACGGGAGACCAGAAAAAAAAATTAGCTATGTTAGAATACACATTATAATGATATCAAAGACTGAATCTATCATGTGCAGGGGTGGATGCAAAGATTTTAGTTAGGAGGGAACAATCAAAATCTTTACAAATCGAATGCTTTGTTCTTCATTTATAAATGATTTATAATTGACCCAGAAAATACAGATTTACATTTAAAAAATATTTCTTCATTAATATTTTGCTCATTTTTTTCATCCGTTGGATCATTTTATTAATATTTTGCTCATCATAAGAAAATACATATTTATATTTAAAAAATCTATATTGTATTTAATACAAATAATCAGTTCAAGTTATCAAAAGAAAAACATATAACCAATATTCAATCAAATAAAAATAATTCTTTAAATATAAGTTAAATTGAATATAATCAATTCGGTCACATTCTATGTACACAAATATGATAAAAGAAATTACAAATTTAGGTTCTAATTATTTGAAAATTTGATTGGAAAGTGAAAATTTGTGGTAGATATGATAATTTATAGAAAAATTATAGAAAAATTTTAAAAAATTAGAAAAGTTAAAATTTTGGTAAAAGGTTTGAGGGTGAGCGTAAGATAGAGCAAGAGAAAAAAGAAAAAAACTCAAATTTATTGTGATTTTGTCCTTGTTTGGTAGAGGTTAAAATTAAATTTTTAGTATATTTTGATAAAAGTTAAAAAGTTAAGGATTCCATGAAATATGTTATTAAAATTAATTTTTAACTCTTATTTATATTAAAATTTAGATTTCAATTTATATCAAAGAGAACGTATCAAAAAAAAAATTCAAATCTCAAAAGTTGGGGGGGTCACACAGGGGCGGATCCAACACCTGGC